CACGCCCACTCTTTAATAGGATTGGCCAAGAAAGGAGCGCCTTACAGTGTATTGCCGACCTATTAGGGTTTTGGAGGATTAGTTGGGAACACGCAAGCGCGCGAAGCCCAGGGCAGGCCCTCGCCAGGCGTTCAAGTTCCCTCTCCTTAAGCTACCTTGCATTTCACCCGCTCTGCTAAGAAACACGACTCTGCCCCCAGTTTTCCATAGCTTCACACCCACCTGCAGAGATTTCTGAGCCAGGTTTTCCTCTCTCCGGGTGAACAGAGTTCCCAATCCCACCCATGGTGGGTAGGCAGCTATGGTGCATCACTCACCAGCCTCTGCTACTTACTGGGACATTGGTCAAGTGGCAACCCCGCTAGGTACCTTAGCTTAATCATCTGTGAAATGGAAAGATATTTAACACCCCCGCAGGTTGTGCGGATTAGAGAGAGAGAGAGAGAGAGAGAGAGAGAGAGAGAGAGAGAGAGAGAGAGAGAGAAATAATTCCATGGGGAATAAATAATTAAGGTCTCTTTTCCCAATGTTCAGCCAGAGGAAACTACAGCCCAGACGGGCAAAATGACTAGCTTGAAGTCACATAGCCATTACCCAGAATAAAACCCAGGCTTCTGTCTTCCAAAGGAAAGCTGTTTAAGAAGGAAGGAAAGACAGGAAGGACCTCCTGTTAACAAGGGTTTTAATTTGAGTTCCATAGACTTCCACTCAAATCTGGGGACAGGGTTTGGAGGGGTCCATCAACCTGGATGGGAAAGAATTTACATCTTTTATTTTCCTCGCTGCTAACTAAAGTTTAGTACAATACTTTTCAATAAAGAATGCAACTAACTATAATAGTATTGCTGACCGTCACCAACAGAAATCACAGAGATTTTCACATCATTATAGATGTTGCAGATCTTATAAAATGTATAATCTCATCACTGTTTTAAAATAATATGAAAGCCAGGCGTGGTGGTGCACACCTGTAATCCCAGTACTCAGGAGGCTGAGGCAGGAGGATCGTTGTGAATTTGAGGCCAGCCTGGGCTACAAAGTCAACTCAAGGCCAGCCTGAACTGCATAGCGAGACCCTGTCTCAAAAAAAAAAAAAAAAAAAAAAGATAAAATAATATTAGTCCTTAGATTCTCTTAAAAGTTTAGGGTTTAATGAGTTAATGGGGAGCACATATATTACCACAGCACATATTTGCTGTCTCCATATTTTAATAACTACTATATACAGTATTTCAATGTAATCAATTTCCTCTGAAATTGTGTTTTATGTACTTAAATTTTTTTTTTTCTGAGAAAAGGTTTGTAGGCTTCACTAGATGGCCAGAGGTTATGGCACAAAAATTAAACTTGAACTCTGGGCTCCAGGAGGACAAAGACTTGATTTCTCTTGTTTTCTTGCTGTGTCCCTAGCATCTATTCTAGTATGGCACATACAATCGGTGTTCAACAAGTGTTTGTTGAATGAATAATATGCTGTAATTCCTCTTCAACAATCCTCTACACTCTCAACTGGCCTTTTGGTCACCTAAGAAAGAGAGATGTTCTTCAATCTAGTTTTGTCACTGACAATTTGATTCTGTTCATAGGAGTGGGTGATACTTCAAAGGTCTGGTTCCAGGAGATTACGGGAACCTTACACCTAGGAGCAGCACCCTTTGCTGCAGAGGGAGTATGCTGTAAAGGATATGGAGACAAGTAGTTTCAGCATGGGAACAGGACCTGGGGTACATTGGGACCATGGCTATTCATCCTCCTCCTGGTTTGCATGTAAGGTTCCAGGAAATAGGGCCTATCTTCTCTGATCTTAAGGGAAGTCTGTATTTTGGAGCTAGATGTGATCATAAAGACCTTCTAGAATGGCCCTTGTTTTTGGAGGCACAGACTGAGAAGTGAGGGCACAGGGAACAAGATGTTGCTCTGGGCAAAGACCATCTCCTTCCATGCCTCAGGCTAGGACATGAGCACCCCTTCCAACTACATTAGAATTCCATAACCAGCCCCTAAGAGTGTCGCTGCAGACCAGAGGCTCTCTCTGACAAAGTGGATAAAGAGGAGCCTCAAATGCTAGGATGAAGAGTTAGGGATTTGACTGGGGAGGAGGCAGAAAGTAATCAGGTATGAGTATGATGAAGGCCAGAACTCACAGACCAGATTCAGGGCTAGATTCCATCTTGGGATCCTGGGCAGGTTGCTTTTCCTGGGCAGATTCCCCAGCATGATCAGCCTAAGGTATAGATAGGAAAACTGTTGTGAAGTAAAGCAGACTGAGGCAAGAGGAACCGGGCTGGGGGTGGGATAAAGCTCAGTGGTAGAGTGCTTGTCAAGGGTGCAAAGACTGAGTTCAATCCCGAGGGAAAAAAAAAGAGGAACCAAGATGGCTACCTCTTAGGCTAGCTGAGATCCTCTTGCCAGGCTGACCTCTTCCTGACCCACTCAAGGGCCTTTGCCCCTAGTACCACCCTTCCTCCCTTACTTTATCACATGTGCCCACTGGGACTGGCTCCAGATAGTTCAGGGAGATGTCTATTTACTCTGCACAAGATGCTTTGACTTAGGATTCTGCGCTCTCAGCTCTATCCCTGAGATATTGTATTACCTTGGGCAAGATGTACCCTTCCTTTTTTGTAGTTTTTCTTTTCTTTTTTATTTTTTTTTTAGACAGGGTCTCACTATGCAATCCAGGCTGGCCCTGAGCTCATTTTGTAGCCCAGGCTGGTCTTGAACTTGCAACAATCCTCCTGCCTCAGCCTCCCAAGTGCTGGGATTACAGGCTTGCGCCACCACACCCAGCTTTTTATTTTTGAGATAGAGTCTCACTATGTTGTCCAGGCTGGTCTAGAACTTCTGGGCTCAATTAATTCTCTTGCTTCAGCCTCCTGAGTAGCTGAGACTACAGGTGTGTATCACCACACCCAGTTAAGATGTTCTTCTTTTCTTTTCCTTTTTTTTTGAGACAGGGTCTTGCTATGTAGCCCAAGCTGGCCTTGAACTTTTAGCAATCCTAACTCAGCCTCCCGAGTGCTGGGATTACAGGTATGCGCCACCATATCCAGTACGATGTTCTCCCTTTCTAAGATTCAGTCTTTTCTGTCCACCTCTAACAAAGTGAATCAAGATCAGAACCAGAAACATCAAAACTCTGTCCCCTTCCCAAAACATTTATCAGAAGCAATGAAGAGTTATTTCCATGATCTGGTATTCCATTCATTTGAAAGAAGAGGCCTACAGCAAGGCCCCACAGCAACTGGCCATCATCCTGACCCCTCCCAGCCCCTTTCCTCCCATATCTAAAGCCTGTCAATTTCAGTATTTTAAAAGCTCTCATGGAATAGATAGATTTCTCATGTGGAACAAATCCAATTAATTTATGTAGACACTGTCTCTCAAGGAAATGAAGCATAACTCCCTATTCCTTAAGCATGGGCCGTACTTAGTGGCTTCTTTCCAAAGAGTATACCACAGAAAACAGAGAAACAAGTAACTTTGGAGTGGAGAAACCTGACAGATTGTACTTCAGCCAGGTCATAAAGTGAACATCAACAGTGATGTCATATTGATAGTATGTACACTTGATATAATGAGAATAGCATTTGATTTTAGTGGTCTTCCTCCCCAAACCCATAACCCTCTTTAGTCATGAGAAAAAAATATCGGATAAATCCCAGCCCAGGGAAATTCTACAAAATACCTGACCAGTACTCCTCAAAGGGTGAGTCCAGGTCATTAAAAACAAGGAAAGTGTGAGAAAGTGTCACAGCCAAAGAGGAACCAAAAGAGACATGATGACTAAAATATAGGGCGGTATTCTGGATGAGAACCTGGAACAAAAAAGGACAACAGGTTAAAACTAAAGAAACCCGAATAAAGTATGGGCTTTGGTTAATCATTATGTGCTGATATAGGATCATTAATTTTAAAAGGGGAAACTGGCTGTGGTGTACACAGGGTTTCTTTGTATTATCTTTGAAATAATTCCATAAATCTAAAACTGTTCTGAAATTTAAAATTAAGGAAAAGAACCTCTCCCATGTCCCTGTGCCACTCTCAGCTGAGGGTTAGTGTCAACTTCCCCACTGCGCTCACTCCCTCCCATCTGTTCTCCTGGGAGCCAGTAGAGGGCATTCTTGAAAATACAAATCTGACCACATCTGAAAGCCTTCCTGAAAAATAAAAGCCTTGGATGGAATGTTCCAGAGATACATTGTATCCTAAAACACTGGCCAAAGTCTGTGTGAAATTTACCATTATGATCCAGAGTGAATCTGGAAACTATTTCTGGTGAAATAAGATTACTGTATCCAAAATTTAACACAGCTCGGCTTTTTCATGGTCTCCCGGGAAAAGTATCTGCTTTTTAGAGGTCCAACTCCCAACCTCCTCACCCCATTGTAACGGCTAGTTTTCCTTTTATCTCTATGCAAACTCCTCCGCTTAGCCATCTTTTTTCCTGCCTTCTCCCCCAGGCCCAGCTCCAGGGGGACCTTGCATTACCTCCCAAAGAGAGGACTCTGGCGTGGTGGGGTTGTGGTATTGGTATCCTTCGTGCTTTTTTTTTTTTTTTTTTTTAACTACATGCCAACGAGAAAAATGGACTCCTGGCCGCCCCAAGCCCAACTCACACTAGGCCCGAGGAAAGGTTTGATGCACTGTAAATGAAAAGACGAATCACTATTAAATTGATATTCTAGGGCACACAACCTATCTTTATGCTCTCGCCAGAGGAAAAGGAATGGGAAGCTCTTTGCTACCTGGTTGGGTCCTAGGCAGCTGCAAGGAGTAGGAGGGGCTTTCTCAGCATCGCTCAGCCATTGGCCAGAGCAGTCCGCAAGAGTCTGATGCAACGCCTCCATTGCCCAACGAGCTTGCTCCCCTCCGACCAGACCCTGGGCTACAACCATTTCGCAGGGCCCTGCGTGGGGCAGGAAGCTGTGTGCTGGTCTGTGCGGAGACTGGCCACTAGGGACGGCGCACTGGGACGGATTAAAGACTCAACGAAGCACTTTGAATTTGCTCAGAGTTTTATTAGGGTCATCAATATTCACAGGGAGAGGCACGACTTCTGCGGGGGCAGGAATACAGCAAAGGCTACGCGGCCTTGCATAGACGCCAAGGCCTGGCGAGTTAGCAGGCACAGTGGGTAAAAGAGATGGATGGAAGAGAAAAACCTGGGAGAATAGGATGGAGGCAGAGGCCACTGCAAGGCTGCGACAAAGGCCACAGCAGCCCTACCCACTTCGGGGTCAGGGACTCCACTCTATGCAGCATGGGGAAAAGGGCTGGGGCCAACACCAAAGAGAAGGGGGTTAGAGGGGCCCTGACCAAGGCATCACAAGAAATAGCAGCACACAGAAGCCTGTGGGGGAGGAGGACCAAAAAAGAGGGGATATCGCCCCCCCCAAATTAAGAACTCTGCAATTACTAAACCATAAAAATAAACTTTAAACCCGTGTACGAAGTCAGTTACCCTCCCCCCCCAGAAGTGCAATGCAGGGACCCTAACTGGGGTGGGGGCAAACGGGGCACTGGGGAAGAGGGATACAGAGAGAAGCCCGCGGAGAGTAAGATGTTTATCCAGCGTTGCCCCGCTTCCCCAGGTTGGCCCAAGCATTTGGAACCTGAAGCACTTGCTCCATATCAGTGTCTTCTGAGTCTACTCTGCTTTCTTCCTCCTCAGAGCCGTCCTCGCCTTGTTCAATGCCTGTGTAGGGGAGAAAGGCAGGGAAGGGCAAATGGTGGAGGGCATTTGGCAGGTAGACAGGACTCTTGAAAGAAAACAGAACACATAGCTAGGGCTTTTGAGGACCTGGTTCCACTTGCCAAAGGCCTTTGCTTGGCACAAGGGCCCTAGGGTGAGGGGGAGTAGAAGGGTAGAAGGGTGGAAGGGTGGAAGGGAGGAAGGGAGGCAGGGAGGCAGGGAGGCAGGGAGGCAGGGAGGCAGGGAGGCAGGGAGGCAGGGAGGCAGGAAGGCAGGAAGGCAGGAAGGCAGGAAGGCAGGGTAGGCTCCCTCCCTTTATTCTATCAAAATTGATAACTCTCTCAAAGTAGCTTTTTCTCTTCACTGTATTCCTCAATGTGTGTTTCTTCCTGAGCTCAAACCTCAGCTGAATACAGCTATTCACCCCCAGGCAGCTCCCTCACTTCTTCCCCTCAATCTTATCTAAACAGGCCCCAGTCTATCTTTTTAAGCCCAATTCCCTTGCCCCACTCCCACCTTAGAGCTGGGCAGACAGTTCTGATTCCTGTTCTTAGGAGAGATGCCATCAGGTGCGAAGGAAAAAGATGGACAACTCAGTTTCCCTACCTGATCTGAAAATACGTATATATTGAGGTAACTCATTCAGTGGCTACATCCTTGGTACCCTGTCCCTGCCCTCAATGGAAGTCTGTTAGGGACCCCATGGCTCAAAACTCCAGGAATACCTGGTGCTTCTGTCCCTTCTACTTCCGCAGTGGGCCCACCTCTCCTCTGTCTGCCTATACCAAGTCTTCTGGGCCAGACCAAAACCTGGCAATCTCCTTAAATACTGCTCTCTCCCTCAAATCCCTGCATGCAATCCTTCCTCTGCATTTCCTAAAGTCCATTCTTTGGTGAGCAGAGAACATTGGCTTGTGGTCAAGAAGTTTAGGAGATGCTGGGTTCTACAAAGTGAAAGGGCTTTTAGAGCAGGACTTCTTAGAGCTTTTAGGGTGCTAATGTACATGTGATTCTACAAAAAGTATTATTATTATTATTTTATTTTTGAGACACACTCTTGCCATGTAGTTCAGGCTGGTCTTGAACTCATTATGTAGCCCAGGCTAGCATCCAACTCGTGGCAATCCTCCTGCCTCAGCCTCCCAAGTACTGAGATTACAGGCGTGAACCACCACGCCTGGCTACAAGAAGTATTATTATATGCAGTAAATCTGCAATGTTTTTGATCACCAAAGTCTTCTGTGAGAACCAGCTTTCAGAACTGGTAAAGCATCCTCAGGAGACAATTTCAGAAACTTTGCCCAACGTACTACGTATTTTCACCTTTCCAGATCCTAGCCACATTCTCCATTCCACAGAGAATGGCCCATAATGCTTCTCAGTGGGAATGTAGCTTCTAATTCAAAGTTCACCCCCTTCCTCTAGCTCTCTCCTTACCTTCCCAACTCTTGACGTAGAATTAGTTGCCGGATCCATCCTCTGGGCTCACAGAGCATACTGTTCACTTCACTCCCAGCAACCCAGACAAGCCTGGGAGTTCCTAGGAGGTCAGGGCTAGGTATACTGTATGTTGAATGTACCACTTTTTTCCCTGTATGTGCCTTCTTAGTTTCCACACACTGTGTCCTATCTCCTGCCCACCCATCACTTAGAACTGAACCATTTCTTCGACTTTCTTACATTTTTAAGTTAAATGTTTTCTGGCCTTCCATTGTTTAAAAAGTATGCTTTCTCTTTCCTCTGCAAGAGTAGACCGTGTTCATGTCTGAATACCCTGCACCAGGCCTTCGCTGAGAAAAGAGAATAAGGGAAGATAAGAAGGGTCTAGGGGCTGGGGATTTAGCTCAGTGGCAAAAGCGCCTGCTTGGCAAGCGCAAGGTTGTGAGTTCGGTTCCCGGTACCGGAGAAAAACCAAAAAAAAAAAAAAAAAAAAGAAAGGTCTAGCTCACCTTCCTCCTCTTCCTCCATTGATTCTTCAGAGACGATCTCTACATCATCCTCATAGATTTCCTGGTTGGTGCTGTTATCTTGATCCTTGTCAAACACTACAATGCCATTCTTGTAGTATTCAATGTCTCTGTCATCATCATCGCTTCCCTCATTGTCACCCTCATTGCCATCATCACTGCCCTCATTGTCACCTTCACTGCCCTCATCTCCACTGTCACTCTCACTGTTTTGGTTATTACCACTGCTTCCCTGGTTGCCATCTTCCAGGCTATTGTCACCATCAGGATTCTCATTGTCATAGGTATTCTTATTACTGTCTTCTAGGTTCTCACTGTTGTCATCAGGGCCCTCATTGTCATCAGCAGTCTCAGTGGTCTCGCTGTTGGGGCCCTGATTGTCACACAGGTTCTCACTGACATCAGCTATCTCATTGTCAGTGGTCTCAACGTAGTCAGTAGTCTCCATGAAGTCAGAAATCTTGATGTCATGAATGGTCTCATTGTCAGTAGTCTGGTCAATGTCTGAGATCTCGCTGAGAATGTCTTCCACGGCACAGCGCTCATAAGCATCTTCCATGATCACCATCTCATATTCATCCTTGGGTTTACTGTGGGGAAGTTTGGGGCTGAGTATGGGGTTAGTAGGAGGCCCAGGGAAAACACTGAAAGGTGGCAAGTAACTGGAGAGGCTGCAGTCTACAAGGGTCCCTAGGGATGAAGCTAGGGTAGGGAGAGTCCCATTCCTGACGCTGACCTACACATGTAACCTCAGGCCATTTCTGGGCATTATTCCTCCCTTGTAAAACATTGCACTCAATTATCTCAAAGGTCCCTTGTGGCTCTATGACTCCTGTGACACTAGCCTAGTCTTTGCCCCATCTCCAACAAACCACTTCTCAACCACCAATTCCCCCATTACCTTTCTTTCTCTTCTTGCTTCTTTCTGTTTGTCCTGATGCTCTCTTCTCTCATGAAGTAGCGTACAGGGTTAACCCACAAGTCATTCTTGATAATCTGTTGAAAAAAAGGAGAAAAGAAGGAGCAGAGCCATGAATATAAGCCCCAGATCCTATTTGCAATTCCCCAGGCACTCAAGACAAGCCTAAAAGGCCTTTTCTGGTCATACCAGAAAGTGGCCTCACCTCAGCAATCCTGTCAGCCTCTGGGAGGCTGTGGTTTGAAAACCAGCTAAAGAAGCTGTAGTTGGTGCCCTGGTTTTTTCGCTTGTGGGCCTGGGGTTCCTGGCCCCGGTGCCAGTGGATTGGAGTGGAGTGAGACACTAGCCGGCCTAGGAAAAGAGGAAGCCATGAAGAGGAGACTGACTAATGACAAATGGTGGGGCATGGATTTGTCTTGGACTGCCACTTACCCGAGCGGTTGCGTTGGAACTCCTTGACAATCACCATGTTTGTAAAGTAGGGGTTTGTCTGGAAGTATAGCTTCATTTTGTAGCCCATAGAGATATGTCTCAGATCCTGTACCTGCTCAAGATGGGAGTAATGGTAGAATCTGCCCCCCTCCGGCCCCTGCTTCCCCCCCTCACCTCAGAGAACCAGATTCCTTGGCTTTCTTCTTTGGCCTGACCTGAAGATTGGTCAAGTAGCGGAAAATGTCTTCATCGCGTTGGTTGATCAAGATTGAAATTCTGGGGTGGTTGAGGAACTGATGAGTGGAGCAGTTTAGGTCAAGGATTAACTGTTCAATGAGGAGGCAGGAAAGGTCAGGCAGGGCACAGCAAGAGAGGCTGGAGCAGGAGGATTCCTTCTGTGTTCATGTGATGTATATGCAGCAAGTGGGTTATAGGACATGACCTGTACTTGTATTACCATGATACCATCTATGTGGTCAGATTGTTCATGCATCATTAAACCCCTGAGTTGGGTGGTTCATATTTGCTGTGTGTTTTGATGCCGAGGGTCTATGTTTATGAGATTTTTGTTTCTAGGTGCTGAGGGTCTGTATTCACTTTAGTGTGCCTGGGAGCTGAAAGCTCTATGTCTAAGCACTCTTGTATCTGGTTGCTGAGGGCCTGTAGTCACATGATGTTACATACGTGGGTGTTGAGTGAATAGCTCTGAGGGCCTGTGTTCAAGTGATGCTGCATGTCTGTGTGCTAAGGACCAATGGTCACATAATACTGTCTGTGTTAAGTCTTGTATCTACATGATACTGTGTGCCTGTGTGCTGAGGGCTTGTGATCATATGCTACTTTATACCAGGGTGCCTGTGTACCTGGCTATCCGTGTAATTCTGTTGAGATATTAAACCTATGTGTTCCTAACATGTTACATTGATTTAGATATTCCTCCGGGATGTGCTTAACAATCACCAATAGTGAATGGGATTGTTCCTGTTCTCCCCTTTCCTTCATTTAACTCCTTGATCTCCAGACCCAGGTATTCTTTCTCCTGACCCTTCAGGGGCTCCAGCACCTCTCTAGTCCCCTCCTCTCTAAAGGAGAGCACTTCAGCCAGGACTGGGCTCTCCTAGTGTCTATTCAGAGACCTTCGCTTGCGGAGCCCTGTGTAGCTTAAGCACACAGTTGGGCAGTTTCTCTGTTGTATGCCTTTCTCCTCCCTCTTCACTCTCTGAGTCAATTCATCTTACGTATGCCCTTCCCCTCCTCCCATCACCGCCTCTGGTCTAATTTTTCAGGTGTGTGCCCCTCTACTACCCTCCCTCTTTTCACTGTAATCCATTTTTTTGTTATGTTCCTCGTCTCACCTTTCCCATCTGAGGTCAGGTTTTTACGCCGTGTGCTCCCTTCCCCCTTCATCATCTCCAGTCCAGCGTCTCTGTTTTGCCCTCCTTCCATCCCTCTCCCACCCATTTCTTCCCATCGGGGGGGTTCCTCCCATCTTTGGCCCTCCCCAACACCCTTTCACCCCTCCCACCCCACTCTCCCTTTCTGCCATGGGCGTGTGGCCCATGAAAATCGATGAGCAGGATACTGCTTTGACCCAGAAGCCTGGGATGTGCTGGATGATGAGGTCTCTGCGCTCCAGGAAAGGTCTCCGCATCTGGATGAACTTGCGTTTGAGACGCAGGAAAGCCTTGCCTGCCTTGATGTTCACGGCTTCCAGGTCCATCTGAATGCTCTCCAGTGCCTGCAGGATGCTATCCATCCTCTCAGCATTCCTGTCTCTGCTTTCCTTCTTCACCTTCCTCTGCTTCCTCCTCCTCCGTCTGCGCCTCCGCCTCACACTCTCCTGTTCATCCTCATCCTCATCTTCCACTATTATGACAGCCTCTTCGTTCCTCTTTGGGCCCACTAACATCTGGGGCTCCCACACCCCTGAGCTACAGGTTTCTAGGGCCTTCTCTTCGGCGGCGCTGCTAGACTCTGCAATCTCAACGTCAATTTCCAGGCTTCCCCCAGAGGCCTCGGGCAAGGGGAGTGTTTCCAGGCTCCCTGCGGGAGGGGGCGCCTCCCCGAACCCTGACTCGACTGCAGGATCCCAGCCGGGCCCCTCAGCACCCAGGGTGAAGTATGCGCGAACCCCCCCCTCCTCGAGAATGACATAGGGCGGCGGGGGGGGCAGCGCCGGGCCCAGACCCACCCCCCTCATGTCAGCCAGCACCTGTGCCGCCTCGGTTTCCTCACGGAGCCTCGGGCGCTGCTGGGGCGGAGGCAGGGGCAATCGCAGGAGCGGCGGCGGCGGCGGCGGCGGCGGCGGCGGGTTGCGCCGAGGAGGCTCCGGACTGCTCAGGCGGCAGGTCTTGGCCGGGGGACCCTCATCCGGTCGGTCCATGGCGGCCGCGCTCACGAAGCTCAGGCGACTACACTCGCTCCTTCGCTTTCCGTCCAGCCGCGGCTACCAGTCACACCTGAAGCGCAGCTGCCTGACCTCACAGGACTACCTCAGCTCACCGCCGCGCTCTGGCGTCCCCTCCCACAGCGCCTGCCCTACTCCCTCCGCGCCAATCGCCAAAGCCCCGCCCACTCGTAACGCAAGCGCCCTGCTCTGCTTCACCATTGGCTACGGGTCGCCGCGGCGGGGCTCGCGCTCCTCAGACCCCTTCCTGCCTTCACGTAATCTGCTTGCCAACGCTACACGTCACCGCTTTCCGATTGGCTCCCCTCGCATCCGCCAATCATAGAGTTGACCACCCGCCCCCCCAGCAATGAGAGGAAAACTGCCAGGCGATTGGCTGCTAGGGGTAGACGCTTTCTCCCTCGTTCTTCAACATTTTATCCAATGGGAAAAGTACTAGACGTTGTGAAGACCAGAAAAGAAGACGAAAAACAAACGCCAGCACTGAGCAGGTTGTGCTCAGAATCGAAGAGCCTCCCTGTCCTCCCCCCTCCCCTCCCCCAGCAACTACGCACTTCTTAAATCTGCCCCTTCCCTCACTCCCTGCTTCTGCCCCTGGGGTGAACTCTGCCGTATCTTCTCAGAATCCAGGCTGACCAGGCGCCTGCAATTTAGGAACCCAGGGTCTTTGGTATGCGGGCCAGATTTTAAGGTGGCGTTTTCCATCTCTACAAAAATGGCTCTAGAAATAATCACACACACAAAAAAAACTTCATTTGCGTCATAAGATGATTGATTCAGCTTGCCTTCTAGCTTTCTCTAGGACTTTCTATCTCTCCATCTACTAAATATTTTTGTTTATCTGCTTTGAATCATCTCTTAAATTTTTTCTTGCTTTTTTTTTAATGACTAGAGATGGATGGTTCTGGGTGAGGCATGATGGTTAGGGTCTGGCTTTGGCTCTGGAATTCATAGCAATGGGTTTGCCAAATCACTGGTCCTCTCTGAGCGCGTTTCCTTTCCTACTTTAGGTGTCCTTAAAGAGAAGTGTAGGTAACTGCCTGCGTTGCTGTAGCAGAGAATTGGTGGGGGAGGGGGACCTAGGGGTTCATCACTAGATGAATGGACGGGAAGAATGTGACATGTTTTAAGATGGACCACTAGAATGAATTAGGTCTATATATGGCAACATGGCTGGATCTGTCAAAAACAGAATATTGAGTGAAAAAACAAACAGAACAAGATTTATAGTACAATACTGTTTACATAAATTAAAACATACAATACCATATATTTTTCACAGATACACATGTAAATAAACGCATGAATGGTGGATTGGAGGGACATGTTAAATACAAAGAAGTGGATGCCTATGTGGGTGTGGGAGGATGAACTCAGGGATAGGTGATGAAGCACACAAAATGAAACAAAACAAAGAAGAAAAGGGCCCTGCGTGAACCAATGATGATATAATGTGCTAAGAACTGAGGAGTATGGTCAACTCAAGTCTGTGCACACAAGAGAATTAAGCAAACAGATAGTAAATTGAGTGTCCAGGGAGTAGGACAACTGGGTAGGTCCCCAGACTTTTTTTTTTTTTACCATGACATCACTTTCTCTGAATTTACTAAAGCTGACCAAAATCCCACCTGTATACAGTGGACCCTGAGGAAAGGCTCCTGCACAGACCGAGCAGTTCCTCTGGAAACCATAACTTTGTGAGGGTATTTCCTGTCCCAATCAGTTCTCACAACATTTGAACCTCAGTTTATCAGCCCCCATTCTCCGTGATGGTCCAGTTTCAAGAACACATTGAATTTTGGGGAGAGGATTGAGTCGCTCAGGAAAGGAGGGAGGAGATGAGGTACTCAAGTTTCCTGGCCTCCTTTCCCCATGCTCAGAGCCGGAACCAAGGGAAAACAACCTTATGAGATGGGAGTCAATCCCTTGCTACATACATTTACATACATACATACATACAATTTCCAGACTCTATCTCCTGAATACCTTACTGCCTGTACCAGCACGTACTGTAGTTTGTCTCCTCTCAACAAGATGTGTGTGTGTTTGCAAGCTATAAATCTCCACCTACAGGCATTTGCTTATATGTATGCACCAGATAAGTTTTCCTTAAGGATTCTCACCACACAGTCACACAGACACGTACTATCTCACTCAATCATACTTTCCCACATAATGTCACATACACAGGACACACAGATGAGCACGTGCACATACACGCATACACACACAGTCAGAAAAAGAAAACATCCAGTATAGCATTGTTCATTTTAGTTTTTCCATTTACAAAATCCATTGATGATTCCAGGCAGTTAGAAAAAAGAAATGGAGGAAAACCCTCCTGAGTGTACCCTATTTACCCCCCACCCCTTGGTCTTCCCACCCCACCCCCTTGGAAAGGCACCCCCATCACTATCACTGAGAGAACAGGGCCCCCACCCCAGCCTCTCAGCCACTCTGGCCTGCCTTTCCAGGGTCACTCCACAGCCAGGCTCCTTAATTCTCTCCTGCCTAGAGTGCCCTCAATCCCTTTGGGTCAAGGCTTCCCCAGTTCAGGGGCTGTCTTGCAGTAGGGAAGGATTTTAGGACAAGGTCTTCTAGAAGGAAGGGAAAAAGGGGGTGCAGATAAGTACAGATAGGTCTCTGTCCCCAGAGGAAACAAGAAGGGGACAGAGAGCCTGGGCAAATCTAGGCAAAGGAGTGCCAGCTTGGCTCACCAATCCACAGAACTGGCCTTCAAGTAAGACCACAGTGGATTCCGCCCCCTTGGAAGGAGGCTTGAGACCTTTCACCTGGGGAATCTGGCTGCAATCTGATTAACTTTGAGTGTAGATAAGTTTGGAGGAAGGGTGTTTGGGATTGAGGATCCAGGAGTCTACAGGTGACCATGGAAGGACTTGAGGCCCCCAAGTTTTGTGGGGGAAAAAAAGAGGTCAGATAGGAATGGACTCAAGTCCATAGTGCCCTGCAGTTTGTACTATGATCAGTTGTCAAGGCCCTAAAAGAGTTTTCATCTTCAGAAGATTAGTGCAAACCCAGGAGACAATTCTGGGGTTGAATTCAGCTCTGAACTCATGCTCTGGGGCTCAGCTGCTCTGGGGAGTTCAGATTCCTCCTTATACTTCCTTTCAGGGTATCTCCTGCCTGTGGGACTCCCATATCAGCCCTAGTAGGACTGGAATGGATTTCCATCCTCAAGGAGAGATAGAGGCTGGGGGTTAAGGACGCAGTGTGAGAGAATGCAGCCAAGCTTGGTCTCTTTAGCTCAAACAGTTCAGCTCACATCCTGCTCTTCACCTAGCCTGGGCCCATACTGGGGGCCCTTCTCCCTACCCTCTGGGCTTCTCAAGCAGATCCTCAAGAAACACTTGGACGGTCTGGACATGGTGAGGAGGGAGAGACGACTGGGCTCGGGATCAGGCTTAGCCCAAAACAACACTGCACACGACACAGCGATTAAACATCCTTGCTCCCTGTGGACCCAGTTCCCTTTGGTCCCTGTTGTCATCAGCCTTGGATCAATTTATTCCTAAACATCCAGGCCTTGCTAAAAGACTTGGGAAGGGAAGATGCCTGGGAGCAGAAGGAGCAATAAGAGCTCTGGGCAATCTATTTTACAGGACAAACTTCCTCCTTCTGGGCAATCTGAGAAGGAGAGATAGATAAAGCAAGAAAGCCTGTCTCCTCAGCTGTTAGTAGAAAAACCTGCATTTTGAGTTTTGTTTTCTTTTTCTGAATTGTCATTTGAGAGAAGGGGAAGGACGGGAGAAAGGGGAGGGGAAGGGAGTGAGTGAGAATATGAGAGTGGAGAAGCGGAGAAGGAGGCTGCGGAGACAGGCCCCACAAAACTAGAAATGCCCCTTTCCCAGTTTTCTATCCAGTCCCCTACCCTAGAAAGGTGTTGGCAAAGGTGCCTAGATTACAGTTGGTTTGAAGGCGGAGGCTGGAGCTCAGAAAAGCAGGCTCCTGTATGGGGCCCCACCATTCCCTTGCTGTTGGCCCCATCATTGTAGTCATGACCATTTCCCTGCATGTCTGCTTATCTGCCTGCTTCACATGACACAATAGGGTTCTCTGGGAGCTGGGGCACCTCCTGTGCCCCAGCAGGGGGCATGAGTCCTCAGGCACTTCTTGAGGTCCTTGTTGATTAGAAAGCAGACGATTGGGTTGACAGCAGCCTGGGCGAAGCTCATCCAAACAGCAGTGGCCAGGTAGCGGTGGGGCACGGCACAGGCTTTCACAAACACTCGCCAGTAACAGGCCACGATGTAGGGTGACCAGAGGAGCAGGAAGAGCAGTGTGATCGCGTAGAACATGCGTCCCAGCTGCTTTTCACCTTTGACCTCGTCCATGCCCAGCAGCCTCCGGCTGGCCGTGTGCCCATTCTGCCGGATACCCAGCAGGGTTGGTGGCATGGGCCCGCGGCCAAAGCCAGCGATCCAGTTGGCAGCAGCCTGGCCAGTGGCCCCAGGACCATGGAATGTCCAGTTCTGGCTGATGGCTGGCACCATCTGCACTGGCTTCATCTTGCGGTGACGGTACTCAAAGAGGAGCAGCTTGCCATAGACAGCATGTGTGGCTGCCATGAGCACAGCCAACATAAGCATGAAGCCCAGAGTGTCATTGGCCTTGAAGTATCGATGCTCAAAGATGCACTGGTCCTCCTCTCGGATAAACTTGTAGGTGCCCACATCAAACACAGGTGGGAAGGCCATGGCCACAGACAGGGTCCAGGCCATGCAGATAACAGCTGCGCATGTCCAGAGTGTCATGCGCTTGGTGTAGAAGCGGTGGTGTGCGATGGCCATGTAGCGGGTGACGCTGATGCAGAACAGCATGAAGGCTGCATGGAAGCAAAAGAGCACGGCCATAAAGGCCACAATCTTACAGCTGAGTGCACTGAATGTCCATGAGGAGCCGTGGCGCACAGAAGCCAGCACAAAGGGGAAGCAGACGGCAGAGCGTATGCCATCAGCTAGGCACAGGTCCAGCAAAAAGTAGTAAGGAGCTTTGTGCAGGGCACGCTCTTTGAGCACTAGCAGGGACAAGATGGCGTTGCCCCCCAGGCTCACACACATGATCAGTCCCAACAGCACCAGCTTCACGTAAGCTGATGCTGACGGTGGGGACAATGCGCCGCTCACCTCCTCTGGCTCTCCGGTGGTGTTGGCCATACTGAGGGGCAAGGGCTACTCCCAACCCTACAGGGTGAGCCAGTCTGGTACTCGATGGGTCCTGAGGGACTCCATCAGTTGTCCTGCTGGGCTGTACCTGCAAATGTAGACAAGGGGGAAAACACAGACACAGAGAGACAGAGAGATGAGGGCAGGAGAGAGAGACAAAGAGAGAAAAATAAACACAGACACGCAGAGACAAAGTGGGAAAGAGAGACAAAAATGGCAGCAAAGATGTAAATGGACAGATAATGACACAAATGGACAGGATGAAAAAGAGTAATAAGAGAGGAGAGAGAGAGAAAGAGAGAGAGAGAGAGAGAAAGGGAGAGGGAGAGGGAGAGGGAGAGGGAGAGAGAATGAGAAACCAATGGAAAGAAAAGTGAGGAAGAAATAGAAAGGGTAGGGTTAGTGTGTCCATGAGCCTGGTCCACTGTTCGTCCTACTCCCTCCTTGCTGGGTGGGGACGCTTCATCTCTCTGGATGTTTTCGGTTACCTATTTCCTCAATTGGTGAGTTATGTGGGGTGGGGAAGTTGCTGCAGCTCTTCTACCCCTTTGCAAATCCCAAAGACATTTTACATCACAACTCAGTACACATATGCATGCACACACCTCAACCAAAAGTTTCGCAAAACAGCACCAATCCTATGTGTAATGTACCCAAATTGTGGCAGCCACTCTGTGAATGGCTTTTTAAAATTCATGATTAGGAATGTGCTCCCCGTGTTCAAGGAACAGTGAGAAAACTAGTGTCACTGGAATGGCATGAGCAAAAGAGCCAGTGGAAGGTGAGGTCAGAAGTGTCCAGAGGCAGGTTGTGCAGGGCTGTGGACCATGATGAAGATGTTGGTTTTTATTTTGGGTGAAGTAAGGAGTATGTGTGAATATAAAGATGTGTATGCTTGTATTGCTCGTTCATTCACTGAAAAAGATAATTGAGTGAGCATCCACCATGTGTGAGGTATTGTTCTAGGCACTGAGAATCCAGCTGTGAGGCAGATAGCTAAAGATCCCTGCCTTTGTGAAGCTGACATTCTACACAATAAAAAGAGACATGGGTGAAGTTAGTATGTCAGATGATGACAAGTTCTTAGAATAAACATAAAGGAGGGAAGGGGGATAGGAGGTGCTGGGTGTGGGGAAGGTGCTGCAGTTTTCACTGCACTGGATAAGGAAGGCTTCATGGAGAATTATTATCTGACCAAAAACCTGAGGAGGTGAAGGAGTGAGTCATGTGGCTATTTGGGGGAAGGGAAGTCCAGGCAGGGGAAACAGCTGGAGCAAAAGCCCTTAGGTGGGATTACGCATGGCACATTTGGGGAAGCGCAAGGAGGCCACAAGGAGCAAGCAGAGTGAGCAAAGACTCACATAGCAAGTGCTGAGAGTTGAGGCCAGAAAAATGGCAAGGACAGATCACGAAGGCCACGGCAAAGACTTTGACTTGGAGTGAGATGGGAGTCTTGGGAGGGTTCTGAGCAGAGGCAAGGCATTATATGATTTAAAACTGAACAAGATTCCACTTGCTCCTGTGAAAACAGGTCATACAGGGCAAAGGTAGAAGTGGAGGGACTATTAGGAGGCTCCTGCAATAGTTAGGAGATAAGTCATAGCAATTCCATACCCCTTTCCCTCATTTTTCTCCCTAGATTTTTCTCTCTTTTAACACACCATATGATTTACTTTAAAAACTGGTATTCTTGGGCTGGAGATTTAGCTCAGCGGCACAGCGCCTGCCTGGCAAGCGTGAGGTCATGAGTTCAATTCCCAGTACCGGAAAAAACAAAACAAAAACAAAAAACTGGTATTCTTGCCTGCCTTGTGTTATCAGAAAGAATGCTCCACAAGGGCTAGGATTGTAGACTCACTCACTTTGCTCTAAAAGAGCAGGACAGAGCAGATGGTAGGCTCTCAGGGAAAAGATCCCAAGTTAATACAGAAGGACTAAATGCACTGGTAGGTGACGAGGGCTCCCTGGAGATATCCAAGCAGACTATGTTGAAAAAGAGGCCTGGGGAGTGTGACTGGCATGCAGTAAGAGCAGCGCAGTAAAGCTCGGGGGAAATAGACTGCTTGGTGTGTGCAGGCTGGAAGTGTGGGGATGTGATAATGTGATAATGCAGGTCCCAGAAGGAAGGCAGGCAGGCTACCTGGGCAGCAGCTGGAGATGCTTAGGATTATTGTGGAGGGTAGGGCTGGTCTGGGCTGGAGCTTGAGTACATGTCTTTGTGCCCTTTTTGTTCCCATCAAAGGGGTCCCCTCTGTACTGTTTTGCAGTCTGATCCAATCTGGCTTGCACAGTCACTTGGAACTGATGATACTGTGAAGTCTAAGAGCTAGTAACCTGTCCTTGAGAAGGTCCTAGGCAGGAGAGAAACAGGACTGAGGGCTCCCCTTTCAGCTCCTCAGAACATGGTGGCATCTTCAGCTCTCAGTGGTATATGTATAAATGTGGATACACATACACACACACCCATGTACGCACTATTTAGCTTCAAGTGGAAGCAAGGGGAAAGGGATAGAAATAGACTGAATGTAAGATAAAGTCAGAGAGACACGCAGAAAATGACAGAAGGAAAGAAGCACGTGATTGTGTGTGTGTGTGTGTGTGTGTGAGAGAGAGAGAGAAAGAGAGAGAGAGAGAAGAGAGAAAAAGATAGAAATAGAGACAAAAAGTGGAGGAAGAGTGAGAAAAAAGACTCACATAGAAATAGCACAACAGAGAAAGGAAAGGAACAGAGACAAAGATACAAGGAAAAAGATAGAAAAAGGGACGGGGAACTCCATTTCCAGATAGTAAAGAGGTGTTATAAATATGTTTAAAAAGCACATTGGGTTTGAGAAGGCTGAGAATTGCTCATATACACAAACACACTCAGACTAGAAAGATCTAGAAGACTGGGAGGGACTGATGCTGGGGAGTGAGAGGCAGAGAGAGGGAGCTGGAGCAAGACGGAGGCAGAGATAGAAACAAAAATGGAGATAGAGAGGGAGACAGAGACACACTGAGATGGAGAAGGTGAATAATGTGTAGCCCAGAGTCTCAATGAAAACAAAAGCTAACAAAAACCCACAAACAGCAAAATAACCTCCTCAAATGATAGCATCAAATGAGCAGAGCCATGGTGTTGCCGGGAACACTAGGGAGACTGCATGTGTCTGTGCTCCTAAGCACAGACTGGCGGCCACAGCCAGGGCCCAGGTCAGGCTAAGGATGGGTACACATGGACAGAACACACCTGACAGTGCTCATGCCCTTGTGTGCACACCTGCACACTCACAGACTCCCACAGATATTCTACTGCTATGGAGACTAGTGATCAATTCGCTCACACATAGGGAGCGTGCACGCGGGCGCATGTACACACACACACACACACACACACACACACACACAGAGGAAGGCGGAGGGAGATTTTACACTCTGCCTCTTCACATAGGTGCGCAATGTACCCTGCTGAAGTTCTAGCACTTTGTCCTCAATAAAGGCATTGCTACTCCCTAGGAGATATTTTGGAAATTTGTAGGAACATTTTTGATTGCCACAAGGTTGGGGCGTAGGATGCCCAAACATTTAGGTTTCCAGAGTGAGATGCTGACCACCCAGTGATGTGAGGGGCAGTCCCACACCACTAACAGATGTCCCACATCCCCTAGGACTTTGAGCTTAAAATTAACTGAACCTAGAATCTAACTCTGTTTCACAGATAAATACCAGTTTTTCTCCTCAATTATTCAGGAATGTGGCTGTTATGTAAGTCAAAGGGACTGGACTTTGGTGTTCAGTGCACTTTCCATGGAGTCATTCACTATTTTGTAAAATCTTATCCCGAAACCTCTGCCTGCCATTTTCCTGCACTTTCTGTGTCTGATTTCCCCCTTCTGCTAAATCCATATCTATTATAAGGCCTTACAAGCCTCTAATTACTTTTTTAAATATTCTGGAGAGTGCCACACTCAAGCATTCACATATTTAAATATAAATTATTTTTTTATAAATCACTTCTTTTATTTCTGATTTATATCATAGTTAATATAACATGGATATTGTATGAAATACTATATGGATTTTCTCTTTCTTTTTTCTTTCTTTCTTTTTTTTTTTTTTTTTTTTT